GCTTGATTTGCCCCTACCAAGACCAAGGACTCCATCCGTGTAAGGTGGGCGAATGGAATCAGGCACTTCTTGATTGTATCCACGTCTTCACATCACAATGTTGGAAACAAAAATAAAGTTACTCAATTACTCCGATGAAAAGACAGACATTTAGTTTTCTATTCCAATCGTGATTCTTGGATAAAATTAACCGGTGGCAGCCTAGTAATGTCAACTGAAATAACGGGATCATGATATTTTTTAGTTAGAGATGGCATTCAAGATATATAGCATGCTTGGCCAAGCTTAAAAGCTTACTTATAAATATGTAAATTTTAAAGCAAATAACTTTTTTCCATTGGACAAAACTGATAATAAGTTACATGATGCTGCCAAAGCAGATCATAAGCTTCTTTTAAGCTTAGCCAAACATGACGAGCTATTTTCCAAATAAGTTTTTAACTTAGAAGTAAGACAAAAGCAACATACCAATCATGTTAGGTAACAATTTCTAACTTAGCCAAAAATGCAAATGCACATAAGACATCAGGCCTCAATGTACCAAAAGAGAGAAAAGTGAACTAAAGCCTAATGACAAGAATATAACTCACCCGAACGCAAGACGAGGACCTAATACACTACCATTGGTGAACCTAAAAGGAAACGAGTCCATGACCAGCACACCCATAGATGAACCAAGATCAGCATAAGTGACCTCATAGTCACATTGCTCATCGGGGGTTTCACAATTTTGGATTGCAGGCCCATGAAGTGAGACACATAGGGCATGCTTACATGTGACGAGGTTTTTGCTGGGTTTATAAAGAGTGTGTGGGGACTGGAAAGAAACAAAAATAAAGAGAGATTAGCAAAATTCTGAAAATAACTTCTTATTAAATAAATTAAAAAATCAAATAAAAAGAATACCGGAGTGCATTTAGCACAAGGTGCATCGCACTGGAGCCAAGTGAGATCGCTGCCAGTATCTATGTCAAAAAAGTAAGGTTTCGGAGGTTGGCCGACATTGATCGTAACATGATAATACCTGCATAAAGAATAAGCAGTGAACAATCCAGTTCTATATTGAACAATAAAATTCAGATAATGTATAACCCATGGAAAAGGTCCAGAAAAGTTCAAAACATATGTTTATCGAGTAAAAGCCACTTCTAAATTATGGATGTATTAATCAAACACAAAGAATATTGTAATGATATCAACCCAAACAATTGAAACCAATATGAAGAGACATGAAATGCAAGAAAATCCTCAGGTATTTTCGCAATAATGGCAAAGTTGCTTTGAGTTCAATGCTGGAATGTTCGATATACAATATTTAACAACATTACCAAACAGAAAATATCTTAACTTCGTTTTCTTCTTAGATTTAGATCCTCTCCAACATGTCTTGTCAAAACAGAGCATAACTAGAAAGCTCTGCTGATGAGATCACAGAGCACTGAATTGATTGGAAACAGAAAGTGGAAAATAAATAGAATAAAGCCAGTGTGCCAGATAATTTTGTCCACCGAAGTAACTAACCCTCACATTGGCATGGGACCCGCACCGATCTCATGTGAATAAAAAATGTAAAAAATGGCACCCCACCCACCCGACTGTGAGTGTAGGTCAGTTGGGGTGTCAAAATAATTTTGACACCCAGCATGATTGAAGCCAATGTCTCATAGGATCAACGGGCCAAAAACTTACAAAAAGTGCATACTTTTCGATGTGAAAAATTATCTTTCCAGCTGGAATAAGATGTATAATGCTTGTTCAGAAACCTTCCCAAGAAAAAAAAGGTCATGGAAATTTACCAGAAATTTGGGAGAATTACTCCATTTCAAGAAAATCTTTATTATAAACATACATGGAGGAACTTCCAACTCTCAATTATTCTCATTATATATATGAACAAAAAATAGAAAAATTCACTAAAAATAATAAGAAAAAATCCAAAACCAAAATTAAATCAAATTTTAGCAATTTCAACCCAATATCCCTGATCAAAACACAATCAAACATCACCTGCATACCAAAAAAAAAAAAAAGAAAAGAAAAGAAAAAGAAAAAGAATACTCATCAAGTATTATTAAAATTTCTAATTAATCCATTAAACAATTCAAGAAAAAAAATACCCTTCTGGATAAACATTTCCAGTGACAGGAAAAAACACAGAGGAGCCAAATCCTTTCCCTTTTGACTGTTTCTTGTTGACGTTCGGAGGCTGATGGGCAGCTATGGCAGACCATGCCAAAAAGTACAACAACAATGCTTGAATTTTCATCTTTTCAACCATCTTCGATTCTTGATTATTGACCGATATGATCGAGGATGATTGTGCTAAAATGAGAACAAACGCTTTTCGGGTACAATTTTTTTTTCCCCCTCTTTCCCCTTTGACAGGGTGAAAAGACTTTTCGCGAAGACAAAAAACAGGGACTTTTTGCGAAGACCACAGTTCAGAGAGTATGGAGACTTGACAGTATTACAGACTGAGACTTTTCCCAGCTGGCTTTTCGATTTGCCCTTAAAATGTACACGTTTGTTTGTCTGTACGTATATAGATTGGAATTTTTGGTTGTATATAAAATTTATTAAAGCAGCATCCAAGACTTCCAAGTCCCGGCCTTTCATTTGGGTCACTCATGTCCCCAATTTTATAACACGCATGTAATATCTCACTCGATGGAAAATGTTTATTTAGATGTTAAATGTTCAAGCAAGTCGCACCTAACGTGTGACTAGAAAAATGAAATTTCACAAAACATATTTTCCTCCAATTTGAATACAATTATGGTCCCATGACTCCTCTTGTTGTTGTCAAGATTGATTGTTGTTGGTGGTGATATATATTCAAATTGAATGAAAACATATTTGGATAGTTTTGTCCTTTAGTCTGACATCATGTGCATGTCAATGTGACCATTTAACGTTTAAATAGATGTTTTCCATCAGGCACAGATATTACTAGTAATGCTAAAAGTTCTAAAATATGGATGTCACATATGGAAGGTTGATGACCCGATTTCCACACTTACAAAAATTTAGGAACCTCTAGATGAATTTACCCTTGTTATAATGGGAAATTGTAGTATCGACCCTGAACTAATTGTCTTAATAACAAGTTGGTCTCCAATTTTTAAATAAAACTTGATCTTTGACCATCATTATTATTAACCGTCCACATTTATGCCATATGTATAGAGAACCCCTCCAGATCAGATACATGGGATGGACCTCATGTGATTAAAATATTACCGAAAAAGCCCCACCCACATTATTTATGAATCCAGCTACATGTGCAATCTAGTTTGACAATCATAGTTGACAATTCACCATTGACAACATCACGTTCATTCATTTCAATTTTTTTTTAAATTAATGGGCCGAATTTTGACAACACCAGCATTGTCAATCATTATTGTCAAGAATGATTGTACAAATAGTATAATTTTATTTTATTTTTTTTCATTTTCACCCAACATCACTTCATCTCCTTTTTTACACTCTATTTTTCCTTACACACACAACCAACACCTCATTCATTTTCACACTCAAACTCAAAAACTATTCATCCAACTCTTCAATCTTTAGGTCTTCATACTCTTTTTAATCGATTACCATACTATTCCCCACCCACCATCATCATCTCACAAAAATAAAAAATAAAATAAAATATGGTGATGGAGCATCTATTATGGCGATGATTAGGGCGGCACGATTGACCTTCCTGAATTCCCATAATAAAGTGGCGTTTGCCGTCCACTCTTGTTTCTTTTCAGCTGGACACATCCCTCACTCAACTGGTCACACAGCCTTTGAAAACGATGTCCTCTCATCCTCCTCCATCGGTAAAAATAACGCCTTTTAGTTATTTTGATATTTTCCATCCATATTTTTTCATCCTTGTACTACACGTTGGATTGAAACTATTATATTGACGAGGGATTTGGGCTTTGTTTTTCCATTCTGCTTTGTTGGTGAGTTTTTTTAAGTTAAAATATAGTTGCATGGGAAAAATGTTTGTTTTGTTTTATTGATTGAATTTGTTGTGCTTGAGTCTATCTACATCATCATCACTATATCCTTATCACCTAGGGATGTCAAACGGGCCGAGCCGCTCATCTGCTCGATGGCTCGGCTTGTGAAAGGAGACTCGTGGGCAGCTCGGGCTCGTAAAATCATGAGCCCGAGCACGAGCCGAGCGGGCCAGGCCGAGAGGCGAGTCGAGCATAACAAGCTACGAGCCGGGCTCATGGCTGTCCTAGTGACTGAACGGTCACTGAATTTTTTTCAGTGACCGTTTTGGTCACTGAAATTTTTTTTTTATTTATTCCCCCCTTTCTTCTACCATAAATACCCCCCTTCCCCAATTTTTTTTCATATCTTGCTACTACAAGTCTACAACCCTCTCAACTCTCTTTTATTATATTAATTATCAAGTTTTTTTTATTTTTACTCTCTTGTGCAGTTGAAAGTTGTGCTGCAAAATATGCAATATTAATTCAATTTTTACAGTTTATTAGTTACAATTTCAATTCTTCTAATTCTCAATTCTCACAATCTCACTACATTTATATTCATCTAGTTAAAATTTCATCATAAACAATCAAACAAATGGATCAACGCTCATTTGTTGAGAGATTGTTCGATACAAGGTGTGAGCCACCGCCACATCATGGAGAATCGCCTACGACGCCACAAAGTCAATTTCCAAATGAATTTGCCGATCTAAATGACATAATGATACCTGAAGATGTTCACATTCACGGCCAGGGAAGCCACAATCCAATTGATTTGGATGATGTTAACGTTTTCGAAGCGGAACATGAAGATGAAAATGCTGAATTAAATATCCCAGATGCGAGGGGAAAGCGAAAGGCCAAAAAATAAGCAAAATGTTGGGATCACTTTAAGGTGGTTTCAACGGAAAAAGTCGTCGATGGCATTGCAAAATCTAAAGCAGTATATAAATACTGCCAACAAAGATTTGCATGGCAAAAAGGAATTGGTACCACCCATCTCAATCGCCGCTAT